GGCCGCGGCGGCGGCGGCACCAGGCGCAGCCTCGCGCGTCCCCGTGCCCCCTGCATGCAGTGCAGAGGCTCCCTGCGCCGCCGGGCCCGGGGCGCCGGCCGCTGCCGCAGAGCTGTTTCCGCAGAAGGAATTCGAGGCTTCCGCTGCGTTTAGAAGGAAAGCTAAATATTTTCATCCTAAAACTGGAGACGATCTGGAGAAAAAGAGGAGACTTCTAAGGTGATTTTGGAGAAACACCAAACAGAATATAGAGATCCCTGTTTTAGTCTCATTTGTGCTTCAGTTCTGAGAGAACCACTGCAGCCCTTGCAACACTTCCTGCCAAAGCCCAGGAGCGCACAGGCTGAGAAGTGGCATTAAACCCACATGAAAGAAATACTTTTTTTCTTTTTTTTTTTTCTTTTTTTAACAGATAGAAGCAGAACAGCAGATATTGTTCAGGTAGAATCCAGCCTCCTTTCTAGAATTTCTTTTTCCTGTTGCTTATCAAAATACTTGTTCGATCTCTGGTCAAGGCCACTCAGGAGAGGAGGCAAGAGCGTGATGTTGACAGCAAACATATACAATTTTCAAGAAAAGTGGATTAAAAAGAAAAAAGCATCAGTAGTTTGGGAAAAGTTAATAGAAAGTAAAAGTTATAAACATCCCAAATCCCTGTACCATAAAGAGCAAAAGCTGTGATTCCTGTTTCTTTACACAGCTCATCTTTAAAGGAGCTGCTAGAAACTTGATCTGAGCAGCTCAGCAGTGAAATACTTCGGTCAGCTTTTGAAGATAAGGAATAAGAAATGCAAAAGCTTGCATTAATACCGTACAATTAGAAATTAGGCGCACAGACATGGAAATAGCAAGTCATTTCCGAGCAGAAGTCCCTAGCACATTAACACTGATTATGCTGCTTTCCAATGCAAATCCTGGAAGTGTTGATGCTGTTGCCCAACACCAATAAGCAGAAGAGCTGCGAAACCTTCCTGCTCAAAGTGCTGACTCTGGCGTTCCACGTCCCCATCCAAGGGGTCATTCTGCAGCTCTGGCACTTGCAGGTGTCTTTAACATCTTTGCAGCTCCTGGGCTGTTGCTTTGGACTCAGCCTGCTGCTCTCCCACATCCCGGGATGCGGATGCTCCGGGGCGGCCGCTGCCCCCGCTCCAGCACTACGGAGCTTTTCTAAACAGGGCACGGCCCCGCGGCCAGGAACCTCACACAAACACCCACTCGATCCAAGGGACAGGAAACCTCAGGAGTTTGTTAAACGGCATCGGTTAGTGAAATAAAGCAAAAGGAGCACATATGGTCATTAAAGTACTTTCCAGCACCGTGCAGCTCACAGCTCCGAAAGCCTCCAGCCCTGCAGAGCGGGGACAGCGCTGAGCTCCGCTCCAGCCCTCCCGCCCTGGAGGCCGGAGCACGGGCAGCTCCTGCCCCTTTCCCACATGGAATGTCGCGTGTTTTCTGCACTGCGCTCCGGTGCATTGCTCTTTTTGTCTCTGACACGGAAATTACAGCAGATTCTTGCTAGTTTGCACAGTGACTGGGAAACACCACTTAGATGGTAAATTTTAGAAGATAGCTAAAGACCCACGATTTAAAACAAAAAGGAAACTGAAAAAAAAAAAAAGAATTTTGCCTTGGATGATGCATCCAGTATTGTATTATAGCCAACACCATAAAAGTAAAATGTCGAGTAGTGTTCCTATGAGGAGGTCTCAAGAGGCTGGACTTTCCCATTCCCCCCGTCTAATCCCAGCAGGCAGCGAATCCAACGCTGGCTGCGACCTGTAGAGCACAAGGCTTCGCTCTGGTCACCTGGAACAGAGCATGGATTTTCCTTTCAACGTGAAACCAATTCCCATCTGCAGAAAGAGCTCAGGAACAGGTGGGATGGCAGAAGCACAAGGACACATGACGCAGGAACCTACAGAACACCGGATTTGGGTTTAATGGCTCATTAACACATATGTCACCACACACGTTCTTTTCAAAGGACTATAAACAGCCTCAAGTGCAATTTAAAAAAAAATATGATTTCTAGGATCTGTTTTAACTGACTGTGAAAATGGGAGCTTTCCCAGCACTGTGTCTAACCCAGAATTAAGTAACTAAAGGGAGAAACTACGTGTCAGGTGGATGTTTGGAACCCTGAGAAGTCACCAGGATACATACCCTCCGGCTGCAGGTCTAAATATTCTGAGCAATACCCACAGCAAGAGAGAAAGGCAGCAAGAGAGGCAGAAATGGAAAGAAGGCAAAGAAAGGAAGAAAAAGAAAACAGTAAAGATTGCTGCAAAAATAGACAAACGAATCAAGTTTGCAATCTCATCCAGAAATGGTGATCCCTATAGCAGAAATATGAAGGAACACATTACAGGCTATTTTTGAGGGTGCAATTGCTGAACACTGGATTTTGGACTCAAAGGACATTCGAGGGAAACATCAAAAATAGAAAACAGTTACTAAACTGTCAGTTCAGACTTGCATGACCAAACCTACCTTTGGTTTGCTTCCTCCTCTCCTATTTCACCCGTTATGTACGCCTGCCTGTTTTTGAGCCCCTGCTTTCTAACTCCTAGCAGCTATTTGCTGGGGCACTTTGGCATGTCGAGCTCGTGCTGACTATCCAAAAAAGGTCACATAACCACAACCCTATAAAACATAAATATCTGCTCCTGAATTAGACACCCAAAATACGGGGATTCCCAACTAATAAAATCACAACTCTCATATTTATAAGGAATGTAAGGGAAAATCCAAACATCCTCATTTTGTGTAAAAATTCTGGACATGCCAAAATGAATGAGAAGCTTATTGTTTTCAAAAGGAACTGCAGCTCTGAAATGATAAGAGTGTGATGGATTAGATGGACAAATTCTAACCACACTGCCTAATAACCAAAAGTTAAGCAGTTTTAGTATTTACTCTGTCTTATTCCAGTATTTTTCAATTCTATAGTTTATTGTTTATAATGTTCTGCTTTGTCAATAAGGGAAAAATGATAGTTAGAGTCATTTAAATTCTCCTCCTGCAGGACTGCCCTGATTCCACGCCAGGCTCTGGATACCCATCATTGGAGGCTCTGCAGGAATTTTCTATGGGATCTAACGCTGCAATCCCTGTGGGATCTAACCCTGGGCCATGAGCCCAGCCTGAGCTGCAGCTAGTCAGTGCGACCCATGACAGTGGCTAAAATGAGCCATGCGTGCTTCTTATAATAAACCTATTGTAAGTATTTTATCCGAATGTGACAAGAAGAGTTGCAGGACATCTTTGCCCAGGACGTTTGGCACCATGGTGGAAAAGAGCAGGAGAAGGACCACGTTAATGCCTCGAGATGCACTCCGGAGCAGGCCGGGGCGCTGCCCCGCGCGAGCGATGCCCCTCGCACCTGGTGAAAACGGCCTTCTCGTTCTTTGCATCCATGGTCAGCTTGATGGTCTCCTGGCCCGAGCCCGTGCTGATGGTTTCCGTGACGATATCGGCCTTGTCGTCCTCCTCGTCGCTGTCCGAGCCCCCCGAGGAGCTGCTGTCGGATGCCACCAGCGGCGCTTTCCTGGTGACGCAGACGTTCCACACGCAGGGAGAGGCAGCACTGGCTGGAGAGAGGGAAAGTCACCTTGCAACAGGAACAAAACCTGGGAACGGCTCCGTGCGGACACGCTCAGGAAGTGGGGCGGTAGCAAATGGAAGGCTGAGAATTACAGCAAATTTTGAGATAATGGGTTTTGTGCGGATCCCATAGCATGCAGCATTACTTTTTAAATGGCCAAACAAAGAGAAAAAATGAATCCTCTTTTCCTGCGTCAGGAAAAGGAAAGTGCCGGGCTCCCAGGAGATGGTCGCTCCGGAGGAGGATTGAGGTGGTCTGTGACACCCCTGTTGATCACGGCTGCTCCGAGAACATGTTATGGTAGAACCAAAGCAGCTTTTCCTTTTAGGCCGTCCGTGGATTTTCACTCCACGCACATGGCTGCAGCCTTGGAACTGAACCCTGATCCGAGGTGGGAGGCCGCATGGAAAGCGAACGCAGCCGAGGAAGGCGGCGTGCTGTCCACAGGGTGATCCCCACCCTCAGCTCTCACTACGGACAGAACTGACTTTAGTTCCACCCGGGGCCTCTATCAACTTCTTTTTCCTTGCTCAGAAAAGAGGATGGAAATAAATTAGACTGATGCTAATCAGCCGGCTAGGCACAGTGACCAACAGACTAACTTATCAGAGTGTTTTATTCCCTGGTAGGAGTTTTTCTTACCAAGCATATGGCTAAAACCAGCATTTTCAGATCGTTTACAAAGGAGTTGTCTCTGTGACACCAATACTTTCCATCCTGAATCTAATACTTTCGCTGTGGGACAGGATTATCCCCCCAAAATCGCCAGGATTTCTGAGTATTATTTTAATGGCCTGAACTCAGCATGGAGGAGCTCCTGTAAGCAAGGCAAGGCAGGCAGCACTGGAGGGCAGCTCTCCCCGCGGGCCTGGCACGCGTTACGTCAAGCAGTTTAAGTTATATTCTATATCTGTTTTGTCTTGCAACATTCTCACTTACAGTTCTTGTCCTGACTCTGCTTTGGGTTTCCATCCGAACCGCTGCTCTCTGTGTCCACAGGAGAACTGCATCGCGGACCCGATTCAGAGCTGAAGTAATGAGGAGAAAGCCTTGAGAATGAAGCGCAGGTATTCTGCTTGTTACTATTTCTTTACACTAATACCTTTAATTTTTTGAACTTGTTTCTGTACTTATTCTAAGGTTGCTGCCCTGCAGCAGTGGCAATACATACTGTGCTCCTGTATGTCAAGACATGAGTACTAATGTCAGCGAAGCACGAAGCCCTGACAAATATTCAGCACATAAAATAAAAGGGGCAGCAGGGAGAATGGAAGGGGAAGAAAATAAGACTCCAATCAATGAACTCCCTCAAGCCCTATTTCAAATATTATTTCGTTCAAAAATCATAAAGAAACGGACTGCATTTATGCCTCTTTTACCAACAGAAAGGTTGGAAGTCTGTAAATTTTGCCCATCCTTTCTCCTCCGGCGTGGTGTTCTCGGGGGCTGCTGAGTCCCACACGCTGGAGCCCACGTCCATGGCCACGCAGGGCGTCGGGGGCTTGGCGCTCACCGGCTCGAACGCCGCGGTCCAGCCGGCGCCTGCGGACACAACAAGCACACGGCAATGCCTACGGCGCCTCCAACCTCCGGCTTCCCCAGGTTTTCCAGAGGGCTCACAGAAAGGAAAAAAAACACAATAAAAAGGAAACGGGAATCTCTTCATTATCTGGCTCTGAGATTACAATCAACTTGAAAATCCCTTTTTTGACAAATATTTTTATCCACAAGAGAGAAGCACTGATTAAGAAAAATGTGCTCAAGAATTTCTTTATTCTCTGAGCCAGTCTCAACTGGACTCTGTTTAAATACATTAATTTCTTGCCACTTTGAACTGTTTCAGACATTAACTGCTTAATCTTGGCAATTACAGATAGAGAAATGATGCATGGATTCAAATGTTTAAGATCACGGAAGTGATCTGGAGAAAAATTAAGCATAGGATTTGGGTTTCAAGGTCCAGTCTATTGTTTCATTGTTTTTGTGTTTATTAGAACATTCCTACAGGTCATAAATCTTTAAACAGCATTTTCATGAGCTTTTCTCAAGGAAGAGAATTTACTCACATAGCAGAGGTCTTGATTTGCACACAACAAAACTCAGAGGATGAGAGAGCCACCAAATCTGCACTCACCCATAAACTGAACCAAAATTTCCAAATTTAGAGCCAAAGTCTCTAAAGAGTGATCACACTGAGGTACAGTACCACAGGGTGTCATTTGTATTTACTGGTTCTTCCTAGTAAGGACTGAAAGTAATGACTTCTAAATGGCTGTAGAGAGCTGATTACAAAAATGAATATGGTTTATGCTCATAGTTACCACACAGAAACACCAGCATAACATAAAACACACCAACATAAAACAAGCACTCTCAAAACTGAAAATACTTGCACCAAAAGCAGGCATTGCACCACGTGGAGAAGAAAAAGGCGCTTTGGGGAAAGGCCCGTTGCCCCTGGGTCTGAGCAACCCGAGCCGGCTCTGCGCAGGCCCACGGCGCGTGGCAACGTGCACAAGCAGCTCGTGTCGTCATCCTCCGCTGGTATTTGTCCCGTTTTTTACCTTTTACACTAACGGAGCTAATAGCATGACTTGTGTGTGTGGCTGTCAGCAGAGCAGCACAGCCCTGCAGGGAGGTCGGGCAGGGCTCGGTCCCCGGCAGCGGCGAGGCCGCGGCCGCGTCTCACCTTCCGCGGAGGCCGCGTCCGTGTGCTCGGCGGCGTTGTTCCTGTTGGTGTTGGCCGAGCAGGGGGGCGCCTGCCGCGCCGCCTCCTCCTCCTCCTCCGAGTCCACGCTCCCGTCGTGGTCCCCGTTCTCCAGGTCGCTCTTGGACGAGCTCTCGGAGGCCTGGGAGGCGCCGAACCTGCACGCGGAGGACACGGATTATCATAGAGGCCAATTTAACCCCAAAACCCAACTCAAATACAAGGGACAAAAACAGGAAAAATGACAATGAAAGAGAACGCAACACCCACAAAATCAGACACATACAGGCAGATGCAAGCAGGTACAATCATATACAATCTATTTGCTACTGAAGAAAAACATGAATATAGTATACTAATTAAATAATATGAGAGTACCTCGCATTCATTTAAAACAGTAAAAATAAATAACATGAGGGGAAATGTCCTTAAATGAAATAAATATGGTAAAGAAGAATATTTCCCTTTATACATATCACATGGAACCTGACTAAAACCCATAATTTGTCATATGTTTTCTACATTCAAAGGAGGGACATGAGAGATGAAAGATTAGCACCTAACAGCCGATAAATAAGCAGGGAAACAAATCATCTCTAAGAAATTATAATGTCTAAATGCTACGGATTAATCTGTATGGCCGATCACTTCAAAATCCTTATTAAAGACCCACACCCCACAGTGTTATCGTTTATCGCGGGCGCTCGCTGCCGCTCGTGCTGAACTCGACCCGCTCTGGATTCCCCGGAGGACACAGTGTCTTCCTAGCCCTTGCAAAGGACACAGACACCTAATCCATAGTTTTAAGGGCAATTCCGCACAAGCCGAAGTTGGGAACTCATCGGCTGACGTCTGAATCCCTTTTGCAGAGCTTGTTTGCTCAAAACTTGTAAAACGCAGAGAAGCAACAGCAGATATTAAGTCCCTAAGAGCTTTGCTCATCAGAAGACATCTGCACAGGTGTGATGGGAAACACTCAGCCTGGACATTGGTAAGAGCAGACGAAACGGAGGCAACAAAGTGAATATTACTGTGATAAAAATAAAATGCTAACAAAATGCGTATTAGTAAAAAATCAGTTTACTAATCTTAGGCAAATAAATTTAAGGTGTTAACCATTTTTCTTGCATCATGTATTTATATTTTAGATTTGCCATTATAGAAATAACTTTTTTTAATAGCTAACTATATCAAAGAGTTGAAAAATGCCAAATGATTGGCAATGCCAGAGACGCACCACGGGAGATCCTTAATTGCCATGCAAAACACATTTTTCTTGGCTGGACTTTTTGGAAACGTCTCTTTATGTCCTGGCCTCAGTCTTACAGTCTCCTTCTCAGTCTCCTCCTCTCCAAACATGAGGAAAGAACAAGTTCCAAGTTTCCCAAGCTAAGTTTAATCACTGATAACAGACTCCACAAACCGGTGCTCCCCTCATTACTGCATCCGTTTCTCATATTCAAGACAACCACCATTTTCTTTTTTGTGTGTGTGTGATATGCAAAATTATTTTATACAAGAAAGAGACTTCAGAGAATGTAATTAACAAATAATTTAACAATTAACTGAAACTCAGCTTCACAGAATTCGGAAGGAAAAAAGGTTTTGTTTTCATCTTACCTTGTTCTTGATTTCACTTGGGTTGCATAGGTTATCTCCTTCTCCTCCCAGATATCTTCTTCCTCCTCATTATCATCAAATTGTTGGATCCGCTCATTGCAACAGGCTTCAAAGAGGGAAGCGTTGGGCTAAAAGAGCACCAAAAAGAAATCAAGCAAATCCACTTGCTCTTTGGAGAAGGAGACAAGAATTTTGTTGATGAGAAGGGGGACAGAGGGGACATCGGCCCCACTCCGGGTCCCTGGGTGCCACAGCTACAGGGAGCCCCAGCAAACACAGCCCTTCGCGCCGCACAAACCGACCCTTCCAAACACATCACCTTCCTTCCCCCAAATTACAGCTTTTCAGATACGGGTAGGGTGAGCTATCCCTGCAAAAACCCAAGTCTTCTGCCCAGTGGGGTGTTCTGGAACCTCTGAATTAGGAGGTTTTGCAGTGCTGATTGCAGTGATGCACAGGCCGGATCAACGGCTGCCGTGCAATTACAGCAGACAAAAACACTCTCCAGTCAGGAAAAAATAAGTTAATACGGGCAAATAAATAGTTCTTTGTGCCTTAGCTGGCCATTCCAAAAAGGAGACCTTTTTTCTGTACACATAAAGTGTGGCCAAGAGCAGCAGGAAGAAGAAAACCTTTCCAGAGAATTGTTTAAGTGAAAAGGAGCATTTTGAAGACTAAAGAAATCTGAGTCTCAATATCGACTACACAACTTTCAGTCCAGGGATGAGTCTGGGATCACATCATTTAAGCCACTATCCATCTTCTTCAATAGGTAGTGATTTATGTCAGTAAAACAAAAAAGGAAAAGATACCCCCACGACAACACACAGACCCAGGAAAAAAAAATCTGCTCCACTAGTTTTATTTTCCCCTAGTTTGTGCGTGGCAAGATTATCAAAATGAAAATAACAGCAATAGATTCAAATTGCAGAGAGAGAGAATAGTTTCCTCTAGTGTAAAGAGTAAAATTTTGGAAGACTCTGGCCAAAGCAATAAAATGCAGGGATACATTTAATGCTCTGAATTCTTTAACCGGACTTGGGCACCAGGGCCTCTTCTTATTTGCTAAATATTTGCTTTCTTTCAAAATGACTCCAGCTGATTCAAGCATTAGCTAACTTGATAGAATCCATCCTATTAAACAAATACCCCAAAATACCCACTTACACTGTCATCATCTGCATCTATATTGAAGTTTATCTCTGCAATCCTGTCGAAAGGAGCACTGCAAAAAGAAGGGAAAGAAGCTTCAGTGATGGCACGGAGTAGCAAACAGCAATTTGCAGCCTCAACGCTAGCCCAAAGGACAGCTAACCGCAAGGACTGCAGCTCCTGCATGTGTTCTCTGCACATTCACTGCTGTGCTCAGGGCAATGGTTTCCTCTCCTTCAAATGAAAGAGTGATCATTTCATATTTTTTAATATTTGAAAAAGGAGGACTTTCATTCCCACATTCAGTATCTTAAGATTTTTAGCATTATCTTATTGACAAGGGATTTTGAGCCTTCAAGGCAACCACAGCCAACAACTGGTTGTTATTTTGCAACTCTTACAGTACTCAGGCAATATACGGGCTATCTCCAGATTTTTCAGTGAGCCTCAACTCATAATTAATTAAACTCATAATTTATTAAAATAGAAAATAGAGGAAGTTGCATCTGAAATTCCATCCCTGCACTCAGCTACGAAATCCATTCAGTTCCTCAGAACGGGGCAGGATCCAGAGACAGCAATTCTGCATAGTGAGCAAATATCCTGGGGGGACAGAAATGGTCTGGTTTTTTTTGGTGGTTTTTTGTTTGTTTTTCTTTTACATAATCACAGTATCCCTAGGAAATCCTAGCGTGCATACTGGTTGCACAGCCCCTGACACGTTATTGACCTGCAATACCTGCAAAAACCACAAAATAACACCATTTCTCATCTGAATATAAGTTTTTCTGTTCTAAGAACAGCAGAGGGTGCTGCAGGGCAAAGAGCAGCAACCACCAGCACCATGTGGGCCAAGACACTATTTTCTCAATGAATCCCGAAACTCCTAACTTTGGAAAGAATTATTTTCCTTTAAGAAGACTGTTTAGTTAGCCAAAAAAAAAATAAAGAAAGTTATTATAAATCACCAGGACATGAAGCACAACTAATACTCACAATATTCAAAATTGTATTTTTGTTTTCATTAGATGGAAAAAAAATGACCCAGACCCACTCTTAGGACGTTTTTAAGACACTCTGTTCTCTTTTCTGTCACCACACAGCTCCCAAGCACAGCACACCTCCTTGTGCCACGGGTTTTCCTCACTTTCATCCTCATTTTTCCTATGCACACTGGTGCATATATTCACATCCAGCAGCTTCTCGACAAGGTAACTCTTTCCTTTTATCTACATGCACACACAAGTTCAACATCTCATGTGATCTCGGAATGAGCTAAAATCCTATTTTTTCAATGTGTAGAACTAACTAATTCATACTCAGTTAAACTTTCCTGTTAGTCTGAAAGACAAAAACAAAACAAATAAATAAAACAAACCCAGGAAAGCTGGACCCCAGCATCTTCCTCCACATTGAAGCACAACCTTCGGTTAGATGGCAAACACTTCCGTTATCTTCTAGCACTCTAAGGGTTTTAAGACTCCCAGAGCTACCAAACAGGGAAGCCTTTAGGACAAGGCTACTTGGTCCGTGCTTGAAAGCATCTCTGAAGCAGCCGAACTATTTCCAAATTGTCATTTTATTCAGCGTGCTTCAGAGTGCGAGAGTTGCTAAATTATAGTCCAAGAGAAAAACAGCAAAAGGGTCTTCAATAAGTCAAATGTGGACCATTTTTGGCCCGTAACCAAAGAGTCAGAGCTATCTGGCATGTAGTTTTCTGGGCTAGAGATTCCTGTTTTAACCCGAATTGGAGGACAGAGCATCCTGGAGCCTCTGCACAGTGAACCCCAAGGTTTGGTGGCTTGTGAGTGTCATCCCTGAGGATGTAGATTAGAGCAGGTGTCACCAATCGATCGGCTCTGTCACCCGGGGTGCCAAACCCTCCTCTGCACTGTGACAAACTGCCACGAGAGGAAAGAGAACAGGGCAAACAGGCAGCCAGGAACCACGGAGTGAGCAACATCCTGCTGACGGCAGAGGGAACACGGAACAGCTACGTCTGAACCACCACAGACAAGAGGATGTTCAGAGGCCTCACCATTCCCCTTGATCACAATTTCTGAGGTGAGATGAGGTGTAGTTTTAATTAGATTACAGCAGTTCATCTACAAAAACAACATCACTTTTGCACACTGAATTCAGCAAGTTAGCTAACATTAAATCCACCCATATCTTCTCTCTTTTAACTATTATTTGGTCCAGGCTTATCTGTGTTTCCTTATTCATAAGATAGAAGGGTTGAATTTTCTGTGGACTTAATCAGAACATTATTCTCCACCTTTCCATTCCTAATTTAAGTAAGGACTTAACTGTATTGGAGAGAAGCTGTGATCTCTAGAAGTCCCTTCCCACCTTAAGCATTCTATGATTCTATGATTCTATGAAGCTGTATAATTGCCTAGAGTTAGCTCTAATGCTTTGCACTCTGTACAAATGCATGTATTCCAGAATGTAGATTTGCATTTTTATTAAAAATGTTTCTCTTCAAAAGGAAAGACTTCTCCTTGGTTCAACAGTTGCCGTAGAAGATCAGGTACATCATTCTGTTAAAAAATCACTGTGGAAAAAAAAAATCAGCTGCTTTTCATCACATTGATCAGCCTTTTTTCCTTTCTTTTTTCCCTCAAGCCAAACGGGAGACACAACTTCATTTTACACCCGAACCAGAAGAAGAAATATTATTTGCAAACAGTCTTAAATGCTAAATATACAGCGTGCTCTTAAAGCTCTATAAACTTACTTGATATTATCGTCCTGGTCTGCAAACTCCTCATCATTAAAGCCAAACTGATCCACAAAGTTTGCTGTCATCTGCTGGATCTGGTACTCTGAGAAGGCCTGAATAATGGAACACAAAAAGTGCTATCATAAAGGTGTCCAAAAATATCCAATTTAGCTTTGTTGAAAACAGGTATTCTGAAGCGACATCAAAATCAGAGATAACTGAGGAACTCTGAGAATCACCTAGTCCAAACATCAGTTTCACGGCAGGACCAATCAGACCTCCACGAGTCTTGGACAGATGCTTCTCTGATCTGCTCTTAATTTTTTCCAATAAAAGTTGTGAAATTTTCCTAGAAAATAATTACTCTGCTTCATTGTTCTACTAAAATATCATTTTGTTTTTTCATTTGCTTCTTTTCCCCGATGTAACATGAAATCTGCTGTACTACAAGTTAGCCCCACTTTAGAGAGCAAAACGATATTTTTCACTTTCTCTATAGCCCTCCTTGCAGGATGAGGCGTAAGTCTCCAAATAACCCTTGTTTCTCTTAGCTAAATGGCCCAGGTTCTTCAGCTTTTCTCTGTGCGTGCTGTTCTCCAGCTCTGTCCACAGCTGCGTGCTGGCCAGGCAGAGCGGAGGAACCGCTCCGTGTGTTGCAGAACACGGTGCTTGTTCTCCCCCAACAGCTCCTGTCTCCTGAATGTGTTGCAGATGATGCCAGTATTATTGCACAGGCAAGTTTTGGAGACGTTCTTGCGCTGTAGAGAGACTAGACTGGAGTCTCTACGTGAGGAGGCACACTGGAAACCACGACAATCAGCTGAGCACACTAAGAGTAAAGCCAGGAAGCTGACGGACAGAAGGAAGGATCAGGGGAGTCAGAGAAGCTCCCGGGAGCAGTGAAGCTGCTGGCTCACCTGCTGCAGGGAGAGTTCGTTGGGAAAAGCACTCTCGATGTCTTCATCCTCGCTGGAAGAGTGCAGATGATGGGTGCTCACCTGGAGGTACAAAACGAGAGCACAAGGGAAAGCTAAGCAAGCTGCAGTATTTGCATTCCACACATACAGGCAAAGACCAAACTCCTCAGAGCCTGAAACCATCCAGGTGAATAACACAGGAACACGGATTAGGGTTTACCAAAATGTACCAGAACTATTCTTCAAGAACTATTATGAAACACGTTATTTACTAACAGTCTAAGCAAAAGTAGGAAAAGACCATCAACACCACTATTTTCTATTAAGGAAAATTCAGAAAATAACAGGCCTGATGAGAAAAATCTGAAAAACACAAACTATCATTCTTCTCACCAAATCCACCGTATTCCTCCTGTTCGTTTCCGTCAGCGTCTCTTCTACAAAACTCTCCCATCTCCCTCTGCAATCCTCAGGTAGCTCTGGAACAGAAAGGTCACCATGAAAACGATCGCAGCTTGAGAACAGATCAATGTCAGTCTAGACAACCATTTAGCCCCACTGCGTTGGGAACAGCTTCATCAAGGACATTGGCTTGGGGACTATCTGGTCCTTAATGAATAGGGCTGAACTCCTCCTGCGTTACGTTTAACAGAACATTAACCAACACACTGAGCTTGCCTCAATATCTCAGCTGACTGCACTGGTTACTTGAAGTCTTTGGGCTGGCGCATTTACCTGCACTTGAACCAAGCAACACAGGCGATGAATGCATTACATTTTATCTGTGACTTTCTAAAAATGGCAAATTCTGCAGAAAAGGGAAAATCTTTCATTAGGCAACCCACTTAGATATTGCTCTTAACCACTGCCACTCACTGTGCAATTACAGCAGGCTAAAGATAAAGAACTTTTCCTGCAGCTTTCTGAAAATCAGCGTACTGGTGAGCTGAGTCCTACTTTTTTAGTGTCTTTTTTTTTTCTCTTTTCTTTTCTTCCATGGTGATATAATGCAGAGAAATAGTCATGGTTGGTGAAACCTTCAGTCTTTACTAACACATTTGTTCCTTCTCAATGTTAATGCATAAATGATGACAGACCAAGCTACTACACTACTATTTGATCGATTCATTAGAAACAAGAAAAGGAAACTGAGTTACATTTGTGACTCTTATTTTACCTTAATAGATGCCAAGAGAAAATCTTACGTCCTCTCACACAAAGCTTCTGTGAGATAAAACTGGTTGTCACTGTGCTCTGGGATCACTTACTTGTGTCTCATCCTCTCACACAGGTGTGACAACAAACAGTTATATGAGGCACCACTTATAAACACTAACCCAGAATGCTGTAAATAAACACTAGAGATGTAAATACAAATCCTGATTAAAAAAACAATGTATGCTTTAGGACAAAAAGGATAACATCAGCCTCTGGTTGCAAAAAAAATCCAAGTTCAACAGGACTTTGTGCTACAAAGACAAAAAAAAAAAAAAAAAGTAGAGCAGCAGAGGAGCTGAATACCTTAGTAAACTCATATAAAAAAAGTATACCTTTAATAAATTCACTAATTTGCGTCTGCATAGGGCCCTTCTCCATGTTCTGCACGACGGCGTTGGCTATCCGGGTGAGGTGGCCCATGTTGCCTCGCCGCATCCCTCCTTCGGCCCTGCGCACAGAGCGGAGCAGCAGCGTTAGGGGGGCAGCAGAGCGGAGGGGCG